TGGTTTTGACCTTGGCCTGACCTTCATATTTGACCCCAGGTCAATGTAATTTGTTCATTCAACTGTTATGGTGCCTATGAAGGCATCTCAAATATGTATGGCTTCGTCTGACACTCCGCTGTTGCATCAGATTGAACGACTCTCGAGAAATTGACATAGCTGACTCTGTGGCCTGAATTTGACCTACCCTGGGTCCACGACCTTGCAAAGTGCACCTCAGCTTGTGGTATCAAACGATCCGCCACTTAACTGTCATTAAATTTCATCGCGCCGTTCGGAAACTTTTTTGGAAGAACCTTCGGGGGAGGGAGGGAATTTGAGCCCCACCCGAGCGCGTGTTTTGCTTGCCCCTCTGGACATTCGTGGTCTGTTTTGCTGCGCAGAGCTCGCTTCGCCGCTAGAGAGCCATCTAATCACCTAGACGCTGTCAAGAAATATTTAAATTTTACGTGACTCAGTTGACGTGCGATGCAATAAGTGGTTCCTCGCCAGTATGCGCAAATGGACTAATGACGTCATGCGAGAAGGTTTCCTGGGAACCTGCAGAGACCTGCCCTGTGTGGTTTAGTCCGGCTGAGATACGTGACCGTGGGCGTAGTATGGTCTCAATGTCGATGCGCCTGTCAACATCAAACCATTACCACTGCCGTGTTGTCTAGTCCGTCTGAAATGCATGACCGTGGGCGCAGTATGGTCTCGATGTCGACGCGCCTGTCAACATCAAACCATTACCACTGCCGTGTTGTCTAGTCCGTCTGAAATGCATGACCGTGGGCGCAGTATGGTCTCAATGTCGACGCGCCTGTCAACATCGAACCATTACCACTGCCGTGTTGTCTAGTCCGTCTGAAATGCATGACCGTGGGCGCAGTATGGTCTCGATGTCGACGCGCCGGTCAACATCAAACCATTACCACTGCCGTGTTGTCTAGTCCGTCTGAAATGCATGACCGTGGGCGCAGTATGGTCTCGATGTCGACGCGCCGGTCAACATCAAAGCATTACTACAATGAAGTGCATGATTATGCCAAGGCTGGGATACTGGATGGACAAGTGAAATCCGGTGTGATCTCATAGGCTTTGGGTATGGATCCCGTTGAAACGTAAAATACTCTTAAAGACGATAAAAATATTTATAAATAGCGTTGACGGAATTGAGTTGCTCAAAACGGTACTACTGACCCTTCTGATTATTTTATCTAGAAATTATTCTATCATTAGATAACCATTTCAATTTAGGTTACTTTCATTTTGCGTTAACTGACTTCCGCTTGTCTCCAGCGCGGAAACATATTGCAATGTTGTTTAGGAGGGATATGTGTGCCGAAGCATCACGCCCCAGGCGCGCTCCAATCAACGAGCGACATAGTGAGCTTCCGTGAATAAAACACTACGCGGCGGCTAGGGTTGGCGATAACCAAGCATTTTCGCAGTCACCATTGCCTCCATCTGAGCCCAACACGGAACCCAATATCCTTCTCCTTCTTTCAAGACAGCACCATGACTTCGTTTAACGCGCGCTCGGTTGGGGGTCAATATGACCCCCGAAGATTTTTCCGGAGTGGTTTCCAGACGACACGGCGTAGCCGCGCAAAATTTTGCAGACCTGTAGAAAACTGAATAACAGATCGCTTTGTATCAACAATTTGACGCATCTTGTAAGGTCGCTGACCTACAGCAGGTCAAATTCAGGTCATGGGTTCAGCGAAGACGATTTCTAGGGAAGCCTTCAATCTAATGCATCAACGAAGTGGTGGACGAAACCATACATGTCTAAGATAATTTCTTAGGCAACACAACAATTGGAGAACAGACTCCATTGACCTGGGGTTGGGTATAAGGGTCAGGCCTAGGTCAAAGACAACCGGGTTTATTGCTCTAAAGCTTGCTCTGTGGAGTAGTTTCTTGCATCTATTTTTAGTTCAATGATAACAGGAACCACATTATACATTTTCCATAGACTTCTTAAAGATAAGGATAGGTTACCAACCTAAAATGACCAAGTTTAACATTTTGTTTTTAGGAACATACTGCCTAGCATAGCCTTTAACTCTTCTTCAAATGCAAAACTCAAAGGAACCTTATACGATTTCGGTTACCACGACCCCCAAACGGTCAAACAAGGTCACTGACCTTCAATGGGCACCAGTAGTATTTTGCTTAGATCAGGTATCAAGGTTCTGAGGCACTTTGGATGTCAATCTATGGTTTGACCTTGTTTTATGTTATTTGAACCAAAGGTCATAACCTAGGAACTTAAAATTTTGCCAAAAGTGACGTACAGAGGTTCACGTACAGGACAACAAGCCCTGCGAATTTGGTGCCTCTAACTTTCTCAGTTTCTGGTACCTCGAAGGAGATCAGATTGACCCTCACCCGAGCGAAAGGCATTCAACCGGCCATCCGGGCGCTTATTAAACCTGTTTACCAACTGATGGTGTGCGGCAAAAGGCATCCATCAGACCACATGTCGAGCCAGTCTTGGAGCGACAAGAGAGGCTATGCCATACAACACCATCAAGACCATGCCATAGACGATGAAGCCAGAACCTAATTGCGCTATTAGGCATGCACGTCGTCGTCATTTTTTTTTCATATGATATCGCGTTACGCTGCTGGAGACAGTTTTGCCCGTAGGAGTTCGGTCGGCGACAAAAAAAAAAACGCCGTCTCAGTTCTCCCGCACCACACAGCTAACTCGTAAACAGCGGAATTCCACACGCATTAGGGGGTAGCCAGCGCGCGTGGCGCCCTGAGTGCTCTAATGCCTTGAGCCGGCGTATCGTCACTATGTTCTCGTCCTTTGACATGCGTCCTTGAGTCCGTCCTCGGTTTGGAGAGGTCTCGGGGGTCCGGGCATAGATACCGACGCATCTGCGCAATGTCACTGCCGCAGCGGCCGGAAACACCGTTACACGGGTCCCAAGAATGTGCGGCTAAAACGTCATGTTTATGCATGCATGTGAACTGCTTCTTAAGCGTAGGGTTCGTGCTATAGCTCATGCGATTGATTAAACTTCGTCACATATGGTCACTCAAGTGTTGCTGAAGTGAAGGCTGAATCAGCCTAAAACGGACAGTTTTCGGTCTGATCCGTTTTGATTTTGATGTATTTTGGAGGAGATGAAGCGCTCCGTGACACATGATAACGGCTCAGCTGTAAGCTCCGACAGGCCCTGGGGTCAGTGTCCCAGGTCTCTCAATGTTCGTGCCTTGTTTCTTTATCCATCGGCTTGAGATGAAGCACTTCGTGACACATGATAACGTCTCAGCTGTAAGCCCCGACAGGCTCTGCGGCCAGTGTCACAGGTCGCTCAATGTTCGCGCCTTGTTCACTTATCCGTCGGCTTGAAATACTCACACGTTTCGGAGGATGAGCAGTACTTCAAAAGTTAAGCCACTAGCCTTTGACCTGGCGAGATCAGATACCATGGTTTTATGCTCATAAATTTTGTACCGCGTCCGATTTCTTTAATGGTGACATTGGGTATGTGCCTCATCGTGTTTAAAGCATGCTGGCAAATATTTTGGGGAAGGGGGCGCACACACTTTTAGAGACATGATATATTGTACTTCTGCTCTGCATGTTTAACCTACGCCCGTCTGAAGGGGCGGAAGTAAATCCCTTCTGAGTTTAGGTAGCAGCTTACGAGCCGTGCCAGGAAAGTGACAAGGATCGGCTCAACAATTCTTGGGTGATATTGACCACACTTCTATCAAAGACGCGACGATTAGATCCCAAGATAACAGATCAAGATAACAGGCCTTTAATCCTTCCCCTTCCCCTCCTTCCCCAGGTAATCACGCGCGACAAAATACCTCAGGTCGAGCCGGATTAACTGGTTAATTGTGTTCTCCGGCTAGTTACGGATTGCTTCCTGTCAATTTGGAGCCCCTTTGACTGTAAAAAAACAAGCTCATGCAGGTAGCCCAGCCTGTGCTGAGCTGGTGTATACCTGCCGCAGCTGTGATCACGTATATTGCTTGAGTAACCTCTCACATCGGGGGAAACCAGGCTGCATTCAATGCTGTTCAATGCACATCATCATTTTGTTATGTAAGGGGCAAAGGTAGTTCTGGCGCTCCCATACCAGGGGGTACGCTAAGCGCCGGCCAAGGCCATCAGAGGCCATAATGCCGTTTACCCTGAGCGACTGATGAACCTAAGTACCGCTAAGGCAGACATCGATGCGGCCCTCAACATTCCATCATGATCCTGCCGGAGCCGAAAGCCTGTACAAAAGGAATGTGCAATCCAAGTGACGTATATATTGTTCAGAACTTCACAACTCTAAGCGTGATGGTATGTCTGGGATGAGTGTCTTCGAAACATTCGATAAGTTTCAGTGAGCGATGCTCTATGAGCAAAACCTCCATGCCACTGAACCCACGACACGCACTAAGACACCCACGTTCATTGAACAATGGCCAGAGGTTACAGGCGGAATTGCAAGCGATACAAATTTAACATACCCTCAACAGCAACGTCCAACGTCCGGTGGTCGTTTCAAGGGTGTGGCGGAATTAACGAGCGTTTGTTTTCGAAACCGTCGCAAATGGTGGCCTGCTCTCTGTGGCCATTTGATTTAAGTCATACAAACATGTTTTGCAGTTTCAACAACAGCCAAACTCGCCGTCCCACGGTCAGCTGCGAGAACAGCAGTAACTGTATTATAGTACAAAAAGATACATTGTTTAACCAGTGCGGCCCTGTTAAAATAAGCAGGGACGAGAGTCCACGAGCAGCGAGGCGTTTTCATAACATTTGAGTATGACTTATGATCTTGGCTACCCGTCCCACCTACAAACGGTGACAACTGACATGGTAGTTTGAGCGAGTGGCATGCGGGCGGTGTTTTTTAAAGAAAATTTGCATTAGTTATAGACAAAATATGCGCTATGATGGGAAAGCTGTGCTGGTTTCCTAAGCCACGAAAGACAAGACGACACTAGTACGGCATCATCTGTGATGTTTGGTCAAAAGATTGCTACCATTACAGCTTGACGACTGACGATGGAGGTGGATGCCATTTACCATGAAATCGACGGCTGGGGCCGCTACCAGAAGCTGATGTACTTCATGCTCTGCCTGCCTTCCATCGTGGCCGGCGCCGCCGTGGTCAGCCTCTCCTGGACCGCATACGACATGCCTTATAGGTGAAGGGTGGTCTCTTTCATGCATAAAACGATTCTACGAAATAACGCAGCTTGAAATTGAGCCGTTTTATAACACAAAAGGGAAAGTTACTCATCTTTACTTAACCTTAGGTTTGTAATTAACTCCTGAACAGGTGCTTAACGAGTTTAAAACAAATTAATAACTCAGGTGAAAAAGGATCATTCAAGCGAGTCGACAGCGTACCTAACACTGGTTTATAAAATGCAATTAGAAAAAGTGGGATTTGAGTAACCTTGGATGGGTTCATATTGTCTTTGATTTAGCGCAATGTCATTGCCCATCTCTACTCCCGCCCACAAACTAACGTGATTTCCGTTCTACAGGTGCCTGGTGTCGGGCTGTGAGAATGCCACCAGCGCCACCTACAACGCCCCATTCCTCAACTTCACAACGCCGAGGCAGTCGGACCCTGCCAACGCCGACTATCCGTGGAGCGAGTGCGACACGTTCCAGCACTCGCCGCCCGACCTATGTGAGGCATCCGCCTTCGATAGCTCCCACCAGACGACCTGCAGCCAGTACGTCTACGACAAGAGCGTGATGCATAGCACCGTTGTGTCAGAGGTCAGCACGTGGCATACACTCTTCAGCCTTGAATGCCAGTCCAGCCCGGAACACCTGTCTCGCTGTGACATGTGCACAAGAACGTGCATATGCACAATAACAAATGCACACCAAGAGGGCTTTGTAGATGATAACTCCAGCAATGGCATAGGAAGTAAAGTGGTCAAGCTCAGTGCCTGTACCCACGTCTGCCAGATGCTGTGCAGATTTTGGTGTGAAACTTTTGACTCGGGCAGGCTTTTGTGTGCTTGGTATGTAAACAAGGGGCAAAATGATGACGGAGGGATTCGGCAGTTTGACACTGGGCCGATTGACGATCCTCCTGCATTGCCCCATAGCCTCAATCCTGTATGTGAACTTCCCCCAAATCAGACGAAAAGTAGGCTTTGGGTCGCCATCTCATATTGAAGGCAAGAAAAGGCCTGTGGACTATGTGGTTCGTGTCTGCGTGGTTCTGTCTGTGCCTGGCATCTATCTGTGAAAGAAATGGGGCGGTAGCGAAGTCTTGCGATAAAAAACAGCCACGAGGGGGCCTTCCAGGCCCTTTCACCGGCTCCAACCGTTGTCATCCCAAGTCGTAACAGGGCATGGGATAGGACGGGAGCTGTGAAGAGATTGGTCGCCGACCGGAGGCCGGCTGCTGATGGCTGCTGATAGCTGCTGATGGCTGCTGACGGCTGTTGATGGCTGCTGATGGCTACTGACTGTGCTAGCGTCTCAGTTCCAGCTGAGCTGCGGGCGGGACTGGCTGCCCACCCTGGCCAACAGCCTCTACATGGTCGGCATGTTCGTCGGCTCGCTGGTCATAGGACACATCTCTGATCGGTGAGAGCTGACAATAGGACACATCTCTGATCTGTGAGAGCTGGTCATGGGACAAAACTCTGATCGGTGAGAGCTGGTCATGGGACACATCTCTGGTCGGTGAGAGCTGGTCATGGGACACATCTCTGATCGGTGAGAGCTGGTCATAGGACACATCTCTGATCGGTGAGAGCTGGTCATGGGACACAACTCTGATCGGTGAGAGCTGGTCATGGGACACAACTCTGATCGGTGAGAGCTGGTCATAGGACACATCTCTGAACGGTGAGAGCTGGTCATGGGACACAACTCTGATCGGTGAGAGCTGGTCATGGGACACATCTCTGATCGGTGAGAGCTGGTCATGGGACACATCTCTGATCTGTGAGAGCTGGTCATGGGACACAACTCTGATCGGTGAGAGCTGGTCATGGGACACAACTTTGATCGGTGAGAGCTGGTCATGGGACACAACTCTGATCGGTGAGAGCTGGTAATAGGACACATCTCTGATCTGTGAGAGCTGGTCATGGGACACAACTCTGATCGGTGAGAGCTGGTCATGGGACACATCTCTGATCGGTGAGAGCTGGTCATGGGACACATCTCTGATCGGTGAGAGCTGGTCATAGGACACATCTCTGATCGGTGAGAGCTGGTCATGGGACACAACTCTGATCGGTGAGAGCTGGTCATGGGACACATCTCTGATCGGTGAGAGCTGGTCATAGGACACATCTCTGATCGGTGAGAGCTGGTCATGGGACACATCTCTGATCGGTGAGAGCTGGACGACGTTGCCTCGTCACGCTGCGTGACGCTGCACCAACCGAGGTGCCAGCACGGCACACACTGGACACGGCATCACTGTTACGCTGCAGTTTACAGCGCAGTTTGAGCGCAGACAAGGCCAGTTCCTGCAGCGGGTCCCGAATCCGCAACACTTTGTCAATGAGGCGATGCTTGCCCACCGCAGTCCGTGCAGTGTGGGGACAGCGTGTAGCACTCGAACTGGCAGGCATTCATCACGTGCGTCGAATGGTCACGACTGGAAGATCCAGTCATCCTTTGAGTAGCCACCGCAGCCTTACACAGCATGGCGATGACCATGACATGAACAATAGCCACTTGCCATGAGCGTGCAAAGTCAACAGTGGTCTCGCAGTGAAAACGCATTGCGACAGTCTATTGTTTATTGTGTAGCTATAGGCCTCTGGCAATACGTGGGCGTACACAATGCAAGACATTGGTGATGAATGGGCAAGCAAGCGCCTACTCGGCGAGGACGGAAATTACAAAAGCATCTTCCGGAAACTCCATTCCGGCTTAAGCGCTATGTGCACGTTGATGTAACAAACCAATGGTTTATCGCGTACGCTATGCAAACACAGTGTAGCAGCTTGACAAAATAATGTAAGCGCATTCAAGGGCACGGGGAGTTTTTTTCAAGTTGGGGAGGGGGTGATAGCCATTTTCAGCTGCTCCTTTGCTGTCAGCGCCCATTGGGCCGATGCCAAATTTTCAGAAAATTGGTGTCAGGCATATGCCTCCCTGCTTCCCTGTTCCAGCACCATTGGAAACACTTTCGTCCATTTCCAAGGTGTCCTGTTTCTCACTCTACTGTTCAATATGGCAGACCAAACACTCACTTTTTGACGCGTGTTCTTACTGTACGGCTGCATGCTAATGAGGAGCGAACGGGGGAGGGAGAGCGCGCTCTTTAGCTCGACCCATCGCAGTGGCGTGATTTCATGGGCTGTTGCAGGTTCGGTCGCAAGACGGCTATGCTGCTGTCGTTCCTGGTGCTCGGCGTGGCCAGCACAGCCACAGTGTTCGTCAAGAGCTTCGGCGTCTTCGCACCCCTACGCTTCCTCACGGGCGTCGGTGGCATGGGCACGTTCATGACCACCTTTTTACTCGGTGAGCTTGTTTTCTGCGCTCGTGGCATTTGGAAGGGTGACTTAAAGATGCGTCGCTTGTAATTGCCGCAAATATTAACCCGTACCGGTGCGTTCTCTCAATCTATCCACTCATCTTGTTTTCGCTGATCAAACCATTTCTGTTCTAAACCAACCAATACTCACGAGAGTCGCCGTTGTGTACCAAGGATTCCGCTCTAGATGAGGTCAAATCCTGTCGCATATTTGAGTATGCTGGGTATGCAACAGCCGTAGCGGTGACCTCTCGCAGGTTAGAAGTGAAAACTGTGCAGTGCTCACATGCTAAATTATGTTTACCTTGCCCCATGACAGTTAACAGGGGCTTGCGGTCTTTCTCATGTTAGACACCGGCATGGGGAAGGCTGGTGCCTAAGTTGGAAGGGGGAGAGGGAGGGGTGTTAGAACTCACATCTGAACAGGAAACTCTGGCATGGGCATGGGGGGAGGGGTGCTAGAGCCCAGCATCTGAATAAGAAACTCCGCCTCTGGCATGGGCACTTCACCGTGATATTTTAACCCCCTCCACAGCCGTCGAGACGGTTTCCAACGACGTGAGGACATTCTGCGGCTTCGCCATCCACTTCTTCTTCCCCCTCGGCGAGAGCATTGTGGGCGTGCTCGCCATGTACATCAAGGACTGGCGTGATCTGCAGCTGTTCATCGCGCTACCCGTCTTCATTTTCCTCTCCTACTGGCTGTGAGTTAGTGGCGCTGAGCGAGAGCAATCGTTCGGCGGACAATCCATGTTTAGCCACTCGTCTTAAGTGAAAAAAAATTGTCAAGTTAGAGAAGCAGGCAAATTTTAGCTAAAAAAAAATAAGTCGCTTTCCTGCATCAGTCTACACAAAATTAACAAATTGCAGGAAAACGACTTTGTTGGGATACATTTTGAAAAGGCGCCGCATCAAGTGCCTGAACTTGTTGCGTCACACCTGCACATAATACCGTGTCATCTCTATTGTACAGTTAGGTAACAACCAGCGTTTAAGTTCACATTTGCATGCGGTTTTGCACTGAGATAGCCACTTCGGGGATCATTTAGTGCAGTTCGCGGCCCGCCCTTTCCAAGACTCAGACCCTCTGGCTTCTGAGCTAGACGTCCGCTTACTTGTGCAGACTAATCCAATCTCACCCAGGCATTCACAACGCCATAGAAACGTCACACAAATACTTCCACCCCATTGGGCATGAGGTTCTCAAGGCCAAAATGAATATAATCGACGAATGATTCGTGCCTTGCATGCACCAGCATGTTTTCTGGCACCACCTGAGTTCAATTGGTTATAAAGACATGTTATGCATGCATCGCGAATTTCGAACATGTTGGTTATTTGTTTAGATCATTAGAGCCTTTTCGACCAGCAGCTATCATTTACGGACTATAGGATAACGGAGAATGGAAAACAGTGGGACAGGACTACATGCACGTGGGTGCCCAAACGCCAAGGCTCAGCCCGCGCAGGGACCCTTCTCCGGGGTGTGCACCGGACGTCGCTTCACTGCGGCGTACCGTTTTCACGGCGCGCTGGGGTGGAGCGGGCCATCTGAAGACAGCAGCCCGCTTCGTGGCTGGCGCATGCAGCGTGCTCACTCCATTTGCTGTTATTCGCTTACTTGCTGTCATTTGCTGGAACACTCCTTTAAGTCGATGGCAGTTCACGGCAACTTCACGAGGCGTCAGTGGGCAGTGTTCATCCGTCGGTCGTCCGCTCGCGAGGCCACGGCGGCACGCGTACCAGCCCTCCTCCTCTGCGGCAGATTCGTGCCCGAGTCGGCTCGCTGGCTGGCGGCCGAGGGCCGTTTCAAGGAGGCCGAGGCGGTGCTCCGAACCGCAGCCAAGTACAACGGCACCGAGTTCCCCGAACATCTGGTCAAGTCCACCGACTCGGTGGGTCAGTGACCTACGCCAGTGCGTCGGCGGACGGGTCACGGGTCATTGCTCCCGATGCTCACGGGTTATTAACCTCCTGAAGGTGGTGAAAGCGCGCAAGCTTTCCTCTTTGGGCCTGAGTGTCTTGTCCTAAGCGCAGTGCTCGAAACGTGCCCAACATTTCTTGCTGGACCCGTCCATACGCCCGCACTCCTGCCCTTCGAATCAGCAGCTGGAGGTCTAGGATGTCGGGTCCACGGACGCGCCCTGTCCATCAGTTGCGCCGGTTTAGGAAAGTCAGCAATAATGCAAGCGTCAAGAGAAGCCATTTTGACACAGCGCGCATGAAACGCTGTCAGACTGTCAGGACAATCCGGTAATCTAAGCAGCAGATTCCCGCCAAGGGTGTGTTACACCTCACTAGCGACAACTCGCTTGGTTTCCATCAACTGAGCTCTTTATGTTTTTGATATAGTTGTATTTATCGTTGAATATTCATATTACGATCAATTCATATTTTGTACATCGCGATGCTTGTACGTGGCCTACAGCTGAAGCAAAGAACTCACTTTTAAGACACTGGAAGCAAACAAATGTGACAGGGTGGCACTGTAAAATTGACCGCCATTTTTCCAGAGCGCCGGCTCTGTCGAGACGCCTGCGGTGCAGCCTCCGTCCATGTCCGTGCTTGACTTGTTCAGGTCACCGACCCTGCGCTGGAAGACGAGCATCATACTGTATCAATGGTAACACACATTCAGCCGGGGGGCACTCGTCGCACTTCACACCAATATCTCAAGTTTAAGAGCGTTTGCACTGCTATGCCAGCAGCAATTTGCACCTTTACCTTACTAGTTTTTTCTTCATCTTACTAGTTTTTTTCTTGATCTGAAGTTTTCTTGTGAAAGAGATGAGACTCAGCATGTGTTGGGATTTAACAGACACTCGCAGGAGAAAGTTCGTGAATACGCGCCGTTAGAAAATGCTTTGGTTACGCTTTTTGTGGGATAAATGCCTCAATGTGGTACGTTTTCTGTCGGTCTAATTGAAAACTTGAATGACGTCTTGACGCACTTGCCGATCTTGCACGATCTTGATCAAATAATCTTGCATCGACGCCAGTAGCTGAGAATGTCATCGTTTATCTTCATTTTGCTGCACACCCTTCCCAGTTGGCTACACAGCCTTTCATTGTTCCAACTTTTATACCGGCTGGCACCGCATGTCCAGGGAGCTAGAATCGCTTTTGAACTAAGGTGGGAGTGAAATATTCCATCGCAAAAAGACCATGAGGGACGGAAAAATCCATTCACAAAAGACGGAACTTATGAGCTCGTGACTGATGCTTCAGCAAACAAAGACATTTATTTCAAGTTGGCATGGACGTGATATCAGAAACCTGACGAAACTATTTCGTTTTTTAGCATCTTAGGCAATTAAAGTGAAACAGATTACATTAGCACGCGCCCGGGCGGGGGGGGGGGCAAACTGACCCCACCCGAAGGGCTTTTCCCGAATGGTTTTTGAACGGCGCGGCGCAGCCGCACCATATTTTGCATAGCTGTAGAAAATCGCATAGCGGATCGTTTGACATACAAATTTTAAATGTACTTTGTAAGGTCGCCGACCTGTGACAGATCAAATTCAGCCCATGGTTTCAGCGAAGGCAATTTCTAGGGAATCGTTCAATCTGATACAACAGCGGAGTGTTTGACGAAGACATACATATCTGAGATGCTTTCTTAGGCACCACAAATATTAAATGCGCAAATTACGTTGACCTTAGGCCAGGTATGATGGTTAGACCAAGGTAAAAACCAACCTGATTTATTAATCTAAGGGTTGTTGTATGGGATAATTGCTGGTGCTCATTTGAATTTATTGACACCAGGAAACGCATTATACACTTTCAATTGACTTCTTAGAGGTCAGAACAGGCCATTGACCTAAGAAGACCCGGGTCGAAGCTTTTGTTTTAGAAACATGCTGCCTAGCGTAATCTTTGTCATTAGTCAAAGGAAAACACAGAGCAGTATTATATCACTTTGGTCACCATGACCTTCAAAGGGTTAAACAAGATCAATGACCTCAAATGGGCTTGTGACCTTTTGCTTAGAGACAGTTGCCTAGGTTCTGGGGGTGCTTTGGATACCAGCCTGGAATTTGACCTTGTTTGACCTTATTCAACCTGAAGGTCATGACCTAGGAAGCTGAAACCTTAACCTAAGTGACATCACATATGGGTCAAGACACCCTGTAAATTTGGTGTATCTAGCTTTCTTAGTTCCCGAGATCTCAGAGGGGGTTCATATCGACCCCCCCACACCCGAGCGAAGGGTATCTAGGCGGCCAACTGGGCGTGTGTTTAAGTATAGTAATTTCATGGCAGTACTATGAGCAAAACAAATTACTAACACCAATAATTTGATGCTGCACTTTTCAAATCCCTTCCACAGCACTTTCAAAACAAAACGAAGCAAAGAAATTTAATAACAAGTAAACAACAGAAAATTCAACAAGCATAAAACACTCAAACAAAAAACATTGGACTCCTACACATCAGCCCATCACCAAGTCAAACACAATATACATACTTCTGGCTTCTGTTACGGTGGGGTCAGGGAAAACAAACATTTTGTCACTGCTTCCTACAAAACACCAAGGCTTATTTCCATGAAAGTAGCCTATGCCCAACCTAAAGAGGCCTTACATCATCTCATCCTGTATAACCTGTTTGTATCACAGCAGCAGTTGTGAGTTACTGATTCTTGCACAATTCCTATTGCCACTTGTCATGCACTTGACCAACTTAACCTAACTTAGAGTAGCCCATATGATGCACATCATCTCAACTCACATGTCTGTTGACAGCAGCACTCATGATAAAAACATGATATCTAAAGCTAGTTTTTGGCTGGTTTCAACTTGCATTTTTATTCATTTCATTTGTGCATGCTTGTTAACATCAGACAAAGTTGACAACACACAAATCAAAACACTTTAAATCACTTTGAACAAAGTATTTTGACTGTCATGGTTAGCCTCTGTCAAGGGCAATGATGGGGATGCTCCACAAAACAATCTTTCTTCTCCAAAAATAACATAACTTTTATATGACCATGCCAGTATTGCTGCTTAACTATTCAACTGCAGCAAATGCATCCATTTGGGCTTGTTCATTCATATTTGATGACAAAGTTTGAGATGTTGGCTTCATCTTTTAAATGGGGTGGTCTCACTATTTGTTACATAACAATATTTAACTCATATTACAGTTGCTATGCAGCTTAGAGTATCCCTATGTTAAAAATATCATACATATATACAGTACAGTCATTTGCCAGTCAGCAAACCATGACAACTATAGAAAACATCTAGTTAACACAGCCATGAGGGGCAACTTCAAAAAATTTGGGGCAAATAACCAAGAATATGGAACAAAAGAAGCCCATTGCATGCCTTGTGGCATGATAATTTGTCTTATGGCAAAACTCGATGCATTAAAGCAGAAAATGGCTAACTCTGGTTACCAATCATGTGTTGACAGCAGGTAAGGTAAGCAATTACTTGGTCCGCAGGAGACTTACCGGCTTCTTCCTGCTCCCCTCAAAACAAAAATCAGTACCTTTTGCATGGTCTGCTGGCAGACAGAGTTATCCGAGTCACCTCCCAAATATAACTATCTATCATGCTCACCAGCGTTCGAGATTAAAGTGCGAAGCAAGTAAAAGGTGCGCATCGCAAACATCTTCACAATGCAGGATTTCACCATCAAACACTTCTGTATTAGCTGCGTCAGGTCTGTCCCAGGGCTCCATATGGCAGCATATTCTAATGGTGCCATACAGACGCAGAGGCAAGGCTATTTTAAGCCTTGCCAGGTAGCCTGGTTCTGTTCTATGGCCTTAAGCCTGGTAAGTCAGACACTCGAAAAGCTTGGATTTATCCTTATTGAGCACCACCATGAACCAAAAAAAAAACAACAACAAAACAAACCAGATAACCGAAGGTTTAAGAGGGCGCAAATGGCGGTAAAAATAAGTTCCGTGCATCAAATCGTCTCCTTCATTCCCTGTGAATTGTTCACGTTTGGGTGCATATCAAACATTTTTGGGCGGCTGGCGAATTTATCCAATTTATGTATGAAATACGTACAAGCTTGCGGTTGGAGGATCTTGCATAGAAATTGGTCAGCATTTTAAACAGCAGATGGTACCTCTGAAGGCAATCGAAAAGGAAGGAAGAATAAAGTGGTATCACACAGGTATGATATCAAGAAAAACAAAATTAGCTAAATAAATATAAAGACTAGTACTTTTCTCGCAAAATTTTGTAGTCAGCTGATTTGACTTAAAATCTGGTAATATGAGTACTCAAATGGTGATATTTATCTTGTAAGCATAATTTAAAAGACATTTCTTGAACTTTTCACTCATACATTTTGGGAGTGGTGCATTTAGTGGTCAAGTTTTCTTCGGGAAAAAAAGTGCGTGGAGTAAAATTATCTACCAGGCCTCGCTGGTGTTTCCACCAGGCTCCGCTCTCGTGGTGTGGCGTGTGAGACCAAAAAAATAGGGGATGCGTGAAAACCTTGTATTTGGCGCACAGCTGCAGATTGTGACACACTTTGTAAACAAACCAAACTTAATGCGTGCAAGCGGCTGGGGTCACTGGGGTGCTTGGGCTTAGAGATACCTGGCGCTCTTGCTCTGAGCATACATAGACATGATTCAGGTGTAGGTGAGGCAGGACATGGCCATAGGTGTCCCAGGAGTGAAAAATTCACATGAAATATGGGAAAAGGAGTGAAAAATTCCTTCTCATAGGGTGTTGCTTTAACCCAAAGCCGGCAATTCTAGGGCACCGCGCATGTCTCAGCGGCAGGCCCTGTGCTGTCTTGTTTCCTACAGATCGGGTTGTGACTACAGTTGTGACTGGTCCTGCCGCATCACCTGTGGCAGGTTCGCGCAGCTTGCCTCGCTGCGGCTGATCCTGACACACCATCTTCACCAGGTTCGTGTGCGCGATGGTCTATTACGGGCTGGGCCTGAACGCCACACGACTGGGCAGCAGCGTCTACGTCAACTTCATCCTAGTGCAGATCATCGAGGTGCCGGCCGCCTTCTGCTGCATCCTGCTGCTGGACCCGTGGGGCCGCAAGCTGATACTCAGCCTGTCGTTCGTGCTCGGCGGACTTGGCAGCATCGCGAGTGGAGTGGTGTCCGGCCTCGAAGGTGGGCGAGAGCGGCAGCAGGACAGCGGCCAGAGAGAGCGTGCGGCAGGCACGCGCGCATGACTTTCTGTCACACAGCAAAGAGCCTTCAAAAATCGGCCTTTGCCAAACGCCAGATCGCATGTGAGACCAGCATACAAAAAGATGCCATCCCGTTCAAAAGGGTTCTGAATTATAGAACACCTTTGGGTTCCCGTTCTGGGACAATAAGCACGTGACGCGCAATATTGAATGCACCAAAGCCGCCCGCATCTTCTGCCTGTTGAGACGCTCAAGAAGGTAACGCAAAAACCAGTGTCCTCAAGCCTCCGAGTTCTCGTACTACCCGCTTCAGACATGCAGACGCTCACGGTGGCCCTGGCGATGGTCGGCAAATTCGGCGCGTCGGCGACGTTCGCGATCGTGTTCGTGTACGGCGCGGAGTTGTTCCCGACGGACCTTCGCAACAGCGGCATCGGCATCTCGTCGGCTGCCGGCCGAATCGGCTCCATCCTTGCGCCGTTCATTGCCAGTCTGGTACGTTACGTATGTGCGGTCGGGCGTGCACCAATGTTATCATGCGGTAATTGGCGAAAATAGCCACTCTTTCTTTGCATGGTTATTACATCAGATTACTTACTATAACATTATTCATATCTTTTTCTGTTTTCATAAGACATTTCGTTTCTTATAACATGCTTTTTGTCTCATAGAACATGTCGCTTTTCATAGCATTTGTAGTATTTTTTGATACTCTCTTTTACTTGTCTGTTACATGTGTTATTGGTTATAATCCATCGTTCATATCATATTTTTAAGGTTCATAGCATATGTTCCTTCATGACATAGCTATATGTTGTGTCTGTTACAGCGTGCTGTCCCCTTTCACGTTCTTCCAATGAAAGTGACATGATGAAATAGCATTTGTAACGCCCTCTTTTGCAACTAAGCCAACGTGCACCCGCTACAGCCCGCCCCTGTTTTGATTCGGACTGAAAATGGAATCAAGGCCATTCCAAGCTTTGGTCACACGAATTTGATTCCAAATCCTTGGTTTTTGACGTCAGAGCGTATCCCGCTCTTGTCTGTCGACCCAATTAAATCAGCATTTCTATTCGAATCGGTACTCACTCGTAATTTCCATTCGCATTCAAGCAATGACAGTTTTTGGGAGACATTGTATGACGTGGCGGTGCATTCTTCGGAAGCTACGCTCGAACAAATTAGCAGGCTGACATTAACTTTTGCGCCACCGAACATTGCTGAAACATTGAAGTGTACATCTGTGACAAAAATAGGACGCATTTTGGTAATCAGACATTAACACAATGCCCTCTGAATTAATAATTCCAAACAAAACTTAGTGCAGGTTCAAAACCCCGTACTTAAATGCCACCGCTAGGAGGTGCTAAAAGATGCAAAAATCATGATATTCACGCCATCCCCAAACTCAGTTAGTCAATGGTCTCAATCCGTCTTAAAACCTAGCACCGCTGTTGCCTCTGCGGCTCAAGAGCCATGCAATAGCTGTGTCACGTCTGCGGAGACGAGGATGCCATCGAGCTGCGTCACGGACCGACCTTTGTCGCTGAATATTGATCCAATGCTCACGTCAAGCTGGATTCCGGCCGATTCCTTCGGCCGACTTAGATGGGATGCTTCACATTTGAAGAAATTGGAGCAAGTCACTCTCACGGAAAAATTATAACCGGAAAGCACGCTCACGAACGCCTGATATGAACGCCTCGACGACGATATGTTTTGGCCTCGATAGCCGTATGTCTTGTGGAATGGCAGAATTTCAATGACGCTGTCATGACGTCATGAATGCCTAGGTGACTTTGAAATACTCTCCCAGTTATACCTCGCCCCATTTTCGCGAGCGTGTAGCTCAGAGACCAGAAGGGCTTTAATCTTCAGAAAGGAAGACTGCGAACAGCACCGGAAGGTCTTGAAGATGGCTATTTTAATTGAAAACTCTATCTAAATGTGGAACTCTCCCCTTAGCAGTCCTGGACTCTGACCTAAATGACCTGCCCTTCATCAGTAACATTGTTCGGGAGTCAAAAGCATGCCAAATATGAAGCCGACGTCTTTATGTTGACAGGAAGTTTCCCTGTCCAGCATCATTGATTTCATGCATCGCTCGACAGCCTCCCTTTCATGCGATGCTTGTTTACCTTCCCAATTTCGCCGCACCGGGACCAACGCCACAGCACCGTGACTGCTGTTCCAGGCACAAGGTTCAAAAAGCCAGGTCCTACCCATGTCGATTTTCGGCGTGTTGTGCTTGATCGGGGCAGCTGTTACTCTCTACCTTCCCGAAACTTTCGGACAGAAATTGCCGGACACCATCGAGGAATCAGAGAACTTCGGAAGGTGAGTGCGAGCAGAACCACGGATACCACGCAGACCACCCCTGACATCTGGCGCCATTGTTTATAACTAATGCTTCAGCTCTGTTGCCAACCGCCCACATGCCTCATGCATTGTGCACGCGGTGTTTTCTGCGCAGAACTCAAGGACTGCCGCTCGTCGCTGTATAATGCAGTCTGGCCCGCATCCGACAGACGCTGGTGATGGGTCGGGTATTTGATGACGTCAGACGCCCATTATTGTTGCAGGGACCAGACGCTCTGCCATATTCCGTGGTTGGTCCGCCGAAAACGTCGGAAGTTATACGCCTGAGCGTGACAGCCAGAGACAGCCAGTTAGCCTCTCCACGGGGCACTGCCCAGCATTCTTGACAACGAATCAGCCTCCGGAAAAACTACTGACGTCATTTCACCGGGCGGACTGATTGGTCCTTACGGCGGGACAGCGGGTCGGCGCGGTTGCGGCGCATGGCCTGCCACTTCTGTAATATGTCGCTTTGTGTCGTCGCGTGAGGTCGTCTGGTTGATGATGTGGCATGACTATTCTAGCTAGCACGTAAGGTTTTAGTTATTGCGAAAATACGACGGGCTTTTAACAATAAAAAGGCATATGCAAACGCTTGTCTTGATAACGCGAGTGACATTTTAATCGAAAAAAAAAACAGTGGCTTGAGGCGGCATTGACTGGAAGACACAAGTACAACACGGTGTCTTCCTTACCCTCTATCTTTTACGTAAAAATGGACGAATAGCGTTGAGCTGTTTCTTTTTTCTGGCCCATCATCTGGCCCTTTCAACTGGCCCATCATCGCTCCATGTCGGAGACAGATGGCATCTCACCAGCTGATCGGCGTGCTTCGTGACTCGTTCGCTGGTACCGGTGTGGTGACTGTGCTCCGAGCCGACGGTTGTCCTCAGCTCAGAACAAAAGAACAGGAGATTTCCTGTCCAGACGCGGAGTTATCCCTTGTATTATCTAGCCCCCCATCAGCCACAGAGCAATGGACACACCGAGTCTGCAGTGAAGTCGGTCAAACGATTTGGGCAACTGCAGGCTGGATACCGCGTTGTGATCCTGCTGCAACTGAATTCTTGTACCAATGAATATTACGGTCGCAGCGTTTTCCCTTTCCTGTGCACCACATTCTTCGCCATACCCTCCAGGATGAACAGGTTGGCGGCTCACTATGGAGTAACGAGCCGACGAGAGTAACGGTTCTGGGGCTACCCACGTAACGCTACCTGCTGGAGGACATTGGCGCAGTCACGATGGGACCCTGAGCCTCCACGGTCCTAAATTGACTCTCGGTCATAGTCAAGGTGTGGCTCCGTTAGATTTGAAGTTGGATCAGCTTGAAATCGAAGGGCATGCCAGCTGGGATGAGCGGGATTCTTGTGATGAAGACCCTTGGTCCCTTGGCATTTCCTGTCATCATGGCTGCCATTGCGGAGCTTCGGATGAAGATTTTTGGGACCATGGCGAGTGCGACTTACTGGAACACAACTTTGTGATGGCAGTTCTGTTGGCTCCAGGCTCCTGAGAAGCTCCTATATGTAGTTCGCAGCCTCCTCCGGGTTTGTGGCAGTGTCCATTCCTTCCAAGTCCCTGTCTCTCTCCTCGCTGCAGTTTCTCAGAAGCTTCGAGTCCATATTTTCAGCAGTGAAGTGTTTCGGCGCTATGATGACCCGTTCGCTTGGCCAGGTTCACCTTGGCACCGTTCTTTCAAGTCAGGAGTACCTTGGACCAAGAGACTGTCGACCATTTCTACTGGAAGACAATTGGACTTGGCTGACTTAGCGCGCGGCAGAACGCGGCGCGCTGGACGCTCTTCGCTGCTCCGATAAGTCTCAAATGGCGGGAACCAACCGTCGCTGATGAGACGTTCTTGCCCGTGCCGCGCTACGCACAGTGCTTTGATCTCGACCGAAGTGTTACATAAGCTCTCCTCTCGCTACGTTGATTCAGAATATACTAGGTTTCGTAGTCTACCACCGGTAGTTCTCGGGTATCAGAGGCTCAGTGACAGAGTTTCACATTTATTTTATACAAATGTGGCAGCGTTACGTTGACAGTCTGCACAGGTTAGGAGCATTCTTTGCCTCTTATGAGCCTCAGGTGTTTGACTGTCGCATTGCACGCCGTAGTGCGGCGGCGTCGGCCGGCCGCATGACGTCATACCATCTGGGGCCCGCTTCAGCGTCATATCGTCCAGTGCAGATATTTGCAGACCTTGACGTCACCCGAAGATTATGACAGACCTACACCCTGTTTCTGCAGGTCTCTCAGATGAACGTGACGACGAAAAATCGAATGTCATTCCATCGACGGTCATCTTGTATTTATGAAATGTTCAACATTCATTCATTCACAGACACAACATAATATGGTGCAGCTGATGATCTCCGATAGACATGCGGTACAATGAGCAGTGTTCATCGCAATCAACGTTGCAACTAATCCGGCGGAAATACGCGGGAGCACCTGCAGAGGTCGGGTATATTGCTTATTCATCTGTCAATCATGTTGCCAAGCATTTAAATCACCATGTCTTAGGTAAATGTGTGACCAAATAGCTCAGGTCAGAACTCTCAGTTCCTATTAAGCATGCGCCGCATTTCGTCACATATGCATCAAATCAAATCGATCAAGCCTCGCACCAAATCGAATTTCGGGGTCAACCTGCATAAGCAATCATGCTGAATGAAACTACGGCAACATACCCTGTTACTGCTGAGCGGGGGCGCACATAGGAGCAGGATAGAACAGCACTGAGCTAGGCACGCCGCTGTGGATGAGCGTCATAACTGTCTCCTAAAAATGTCAGGTCCGCACACTTCGGACAGCTCCAAGGCGTGCATTAATCACTACCTCGCTGCGTACCCGCATGTGTCGAAATTCAGCTATATTTGTCTATCAAATGTTGCTATGAGTAGATGCTGCGACCTTTCTATGCGTGATATGGGATGGGTGCAGTGAATGGAGGACTGGTGGTCGGTGGTCCTGAATTCGGGACTGGTGGCCGGTAGCCCTGAATTCGGAAGTGGCCGGTAGCCCTGAATTCGGAACTGGTGGCCGGTAAAACGTCATGGAAGTGTGCTGGAAGACCCTTGTTGGAGGGAACGACTGGAGCCACATCTTGAGCGCCTGCTTCTGGAGTTTTTCCACGCAATACGCCGGCGGGGGGGGGGGGCATACGCTCGCAAGCGTTCCAAGCACGCTTTCCACCGCTTTTCAACGCGTTCCAGGCACACTTTCCACCGTGTTTCACCGCTCTCCAGGCATGCTTTCCACCGTGTTTCACAGCGCTCCAGGCACGCTTTCCACCGTGTTTCACCGCGCTCCAGGCACGCTTTCCACCGTGTTTCACCGCGCTCCAGGCACGCTTTCCACCGTGTTTCACCGCGCTCCAGGCACGCTTTCCACCGTGTTTCGGTTCGGCCGCTCAGCCACCGGTCGCAATCACTACAGTCCAATATGGACGAGTATGCGACTGAGAGGAGGAGGGGGCAATGCTGGACAACGACCGGGGAGCGAAGTCGGGGTAGCCACCTAAGACAGTCGAACATGCATGTCCCTAGTTTTATACCGACTGCTCAACGCGCGTTAAAGGATTAGACAAAATCAGTGGCATGAACACTTCTATCTTATCAGGTATAATACAATGTGCGATGTACAATACAGAGTACACAGCAATATATACAATGTCTGTCTTTGATTTGAAGCGAACAATGGCAGAACTGGGGTAGAACTTCCGAACTTTTCAGCGTCTCCGCAAATCGATGGGTAATTTATTGTTGCGCTTTATGGGAAACTGCCGAACTATATACAGCCATCAGCGCATTTCAATCAGGATCACACGACGGACTTTGATTGATCGACCCAGTAAAGGACAGTCTCAGTGATGTCAGTAATGGACAGTATCGACACGTCGTAACGCACGGTCAGTGCCCTCGAACTCCACGCGGCTCCCTCCGAAACAGCCCACGCGGACATGCGGTGCAGCCATCACCCGAGGGCAAGTGTGCCGCCGCGGCGCGGATGTCATGTGGAAAGCCATGGAGGGGGAAGTGGAGAAGTGCAGCCACAGACTGTTTATCCTTGCGTGCCCGTAACACTGGGTTCTCCCCAAAGTTGGTCCACGTGATTTCGGAATTTGATGAGGATTTAACGTGTCAGGGAAGTGAGGGAGAAATAGCGCGATAGTCCTTGCGCGTGGTATCCTCTTCTCATGTTCTGTGTTGATTGGGTGTCTCAAGTTTTGCGCGGGCTCGTTGTACAGGCGAGCTCAACTTCAGTACGAGGGGAGGCTCACCCGCAGGTTGCAGTGAAGTCCACCCTTCCAACTAAAACCAGTCATCCGCCCCGGTGACTCGTCGCAGCGAGTCGCCCGGCTGACTCAAAGAGCGCCGGGCACCGCCTCATCACATGATGCCGCCTGGGTCGAGGCGCGGGGAGGCGGCCGGGTTAGCCCCTCCCGCGGTGTCGCCGGGGCCCGGACGCGGGGAGGCCGGGACTGTACGCTCCCGTGGTGTCGTCGGGGCCCCGGCGCGGGGAGGCGGCCGGAACTGGACGCTCCCGTGCTGTCACCGGGGCCCGAGCGCGGGGAGGCGACCGGGACTGGACGCTCCCGCGGTGTCGCCGGGGCTCGGGAGCGGGAAGGCGGCCGCGACTGACCGCTCCTCTGGTGTCGCCGGGGCTCGGGAGCGGGGAGGCGGCCGAGATGGCCGCTCACTGAGCCGACGCGGAGCCTTGTGCCTTACGCCGGCTAATCAAACAGGGCACAAAGCAGATGGTCTGGTCCCTGAAACAGCCGAAGACCAGTGACGTCATATGTGACGTGAGTGGGCTGACCGGGCAATGCCTGTCGGCGCGAAACACAGGTCGGCACATGGTGAAGCAGCCGTTGACAACAGAAAGAGGCCATACCAAACAAGCGCCTTTGTAGCTTTTCGCAGTCTGACAAAGCAAACGAGGCTATAAAGGTTCCGTTAAATTGTACAGCCATGTTCAGTACGCGAAGGAGTTGAAAATAAGACTGACCAAGCGAATCATTTTAAGTAATGAACCTTTAGCGGTCTGACAACACCTCCAGCCACTCGGCCCCACACAGCAGCAGGTCGTACTCTCACATAACACGAGAACAGCTGTGACCGGTAGCGGAGCCCTCCAGTCGTTCGCCATAGCAGCCAGAGCAGCTCACCTGCCAACGCTCTCCTACGCCGTTGTACTCACCTACCGAACATCCCCTTACGTCGCTGTTCTCACCTACCGAATGCCCCCCCCCCCCCCCTACGTCGCTGTACTCACCTGCCGACGCCTTCCTACGTCCCTGTACTCACCTACCAAAGCTCTCCTATGCCGCTGTACTCACCTACCGAACCTCTCCTATACCGCTGTATTCACCTGCCGAATGCCCTCCTACGCCGCTGTGCTCACCTACCGAAGCTCCCGGTACACTGAATGTTGTCGGCAGGCTGCGTCGGACGCTGCTCACCTTCCGAAGCTCTCGGCCTCCTCTATGCTGTCGGGCAGGTTCTGGCCGTACGTCTCCGGCAGCAGCAGCGTCACCAGGCCGGCGATGAGGGAGAGCACGCCGAAGATGGACATGGGCAGCACCTGGCTCTCTGTGCCCTGGGGGCGAGGACGCAGCAGACGTCACGTGCAGGATCGCAGACTGC